CAAAACTTTGTGGTGATAAATAGCATTTGGTTTTGGAAGTCATACAAAAGTAATACATGTTTCAAGCCACACGATATTGATGATATATATATTATATATGTATACTATACGTTTGATATTTCTTAATTAATACACTATGGTGATTATTCATCTTTTCAGCCAAACATTTTTAGATGATGTTTTTTTCCTATAAATGAAAACCAAACATTTGTAGATTGGACAGGTCTATGATGTATGAACATACGTAATAAATGAATGTCGATACATGAAAGAGAAAGGGTTTGATTGGGTAAAGTATATTTATAGATGCATACATATATAACAAAAGAACAAATAAATATCTAAAAAAATAAAAAAAAATGACGATCTTTTGCGTATGAGATTGAAGAAGCTAGGTAGCTCACTACAAAAATCTAAAATCCGAGGTGGGTTTGGTTTTTGTACATCTTTTGGGACCAATTTCGATGCACAAAATTAGGAAGGATATAGAAAAAGACTTTTAATAATGAGAAATGACATGAATGTTCTGTCTGAGAGAGAACTAAAGAAGTGGGTTAAGTAAATAGGAGAGTGACAAATGCCTGCTCGTTACTCCGTTTCAACTCTATGGCACTGAAAATCATGGCGTTTTTTTTTTTTGCATTTAAAGTGCACTCAATTGCAATTGAAAGTGACTATTTCTCTTCTCTTCTCTCTCTCTCGTTTTCATCATTTGTTCCAACACGCAGAGAGGTTTGCAGATTCTGCAGCTATGTTTGTCACAGAAAGAGAGGTGGGGAGAGAGCATATTAGTAGGCTTTCTTTCTCTATACCAATGGCCAAACACATGTGTGTAATGTAAAGGCATGTAGTAGTAGTAGTAGTATATCATGTATAAGCATATGTTTGATGATGGTTTATGCCACAAACTCGTGGACTTAAAACTAAAAACGATGTATGTACTAATGTGGACGAACCATGTGTGTAACAATGATGTAATTCATGTTATAGTGTTATATATACTCTAATTTTTATATGTATGTATGTATAAATATATGGAATGAGCTACTTTAAGATTAGAAATTGTAATTGCTTCAAACCAAAAGAACTGAATTATATATGTGCTACAAAATTTTTTTTAAAAGAACTAACTAAACTATAATTGTTCGGATCATTTACATATAAAAATACATAGTTGGTTTGGGAGTTGTAAAAAAGGGCAGAACAGTGGAACGTGCAACTCAAAAAAGGGTTTAGCATTTTATCTCATGGGATAGCATTTTTTAAGAAGAGCATGTGCATTTTTGCTTCTCTTCCCCTAAACCCAAACTTTCAAATGCTCATTGCCTTTCACAATCTAATGGAACTTTTTGTTATTTTACCCACTTGTATATATTTTCTTCTTCTCTTATCTTATTCTATTTTTTTTGCATGTGTTATTCTAAACTTTTGCAAGAGCCGAGGTTAATAACTCTACCGGCGCCGTATGTACTAGTTAGCCTTCTAAAGATGAGATTCTCCAAACTCACTAGTTCGAGTAACACTAGTGGGAGAAAACTAAATTTACGCACTAAACTAAAACACTACTACATATATAGATCTGGAACTTTTTGGTTACAAAAACAACCAATAGCATATTATCAAAAATACGAAAGAACTACACAGTAACGCAAACGACTCGTTTCTTCATCTAACTAAAGTAACTAAATGATCAAGTAGATTATTTTAAACTATAAAACAAAATCATTTACAATTTCTTTTAAGACATAGATTTTGTGTCAACAATATAAATAAAAGCTATGCTGCTACTTGTCAAAAATGTTGAAAAAGAAACAAAGCTAATATATGATTACTGATTTTTTATTAGTAGTTGGATTTTGGAAGTGGCTTAGCATGAAAAAAATAAAATCTATCATCACATGGGATTGCCTCATACTTCCCACAAAGGAACAACCATATGCTTAACTTTTATGTCATGACAAAATTACCCTTCACTTCTTTGATGGGATATATGCGTCGACAACCTTTACTCAATGGGTATTTCAGTCTTGTTTACTTACTTACTAGCCACCATTTTCTAGATTAATTATGTTTGTTTCTTTATAAGAAAATGTCCAATTTCACTGTGTTATGTATATATGAATTAGAATAGTCTTCAAACTTCATAGCTATTTTGTTGAATATATAAAAGTCTAGTTTAGTAGTAGTTATTACATAGTTATAAGATAAACGTTGTATATTTTGTAGCCATGTATATCTTACTTAAAAAAATTATATTATCGATGAAGCAGCTGAGGGTTGTCTTTATTTGCTTAAAGATATGTGTAAAAATAATAATAATATTACTAAGTCTGGATTCAATAATATAGATATGGACCCTCTTTGCTTCTATACATATCTGTGTTTTGCACTGAAACCCGAGGCATTTTATTTTCTTGTCTTTTTCAGCTTTGTTCTTATATTAGCTCTCTCTTACTACCTAGCTAGTAAATTAAACTTTGGCATTTTCTCCTTTCTTATATTTAAATCTAGAGATATCGTTCTTCAGCATCCTATACAAATTTGATTAAATTGGTTTGCCCATGACACGATTTGTTGGTTCTTTGTTATCTTCCATTTAGCCACTTTCAATTGTTTTCTTTAATAATTCAATCTCTTTGCTTCAGATAAGACTTCTAACATGCAAATACAATAATAGTATAAAGATAAACATTTCAACCTAAACAATGATTTTTAACTGTTGAGAATGATGTTATTGGCATTATGATCTATGAATCTATATGGTACTCATGAAACATGTACACGTAGTATTATTAATAGTTTGTTTTATTGCGTTTATTTCTTCAGACATTTATACGATGTGACTATTCAACTGTACAGCCATTTATGTTCCAAAAGAATATAAAGACTTATATTAAAATTCCAAAAACAAAATTTGGTCTTATACTTAAAACAAATTTTAGGGTTTATCAATAGGAGTTTAATTTAAGAACAAAGTTTGGTTATCGGAACAGGAAAGAGATAAGGGCTGTGGAAAAAGTGTCAGAACACAGGAAAGGAAACATGCATTGTGGCATTGTTAGCTATTAGAAACAAAAATATTCGGATTGTGACAAATAAAAAAACAAAAACCAAAAACATCAAATATTCTTCCCAGTATTTTAAATTATAATATATTTTATTACTGATCATATCATAGTGACCTTTTTTTTTGGTTTCTAGAAAAAGTTGAATGAAAGTAAAAAAGAATTAACAGTAAAAAATAAAAATGTAAAGGTAAGACAAAATTATTTACAGATAAAATTATATACTTTTAAATCACCCCCTATATATAAAAATTATGAAGTAACAGAAGAAGAACTATTTGAGACGTGTGATTGCATGGGTTTGGCGCAGAGACAAATATACCCTCGCGCCTGCCAAATCCTTCTCTTACTCTGTTATTTTGTGAATTTTACATTTTTTTTGTTTTGTTTTTGTTTGAAGCCTTAAAGAGAATAAGACCCTACGCCTCAGTCCACTGGTCGTGATGTCTTGTCACACGTGAAAATTCTTACTCTGATTTTATTATCTTTGTTTCTCTCTTCTCTCTCTCTCTTTCACGTATAATCTTATGTTTTAAAAATACATTAATACACGCAAATTTCATATAGTTATAGGTTTGCACATTGTTCATATAATGAAACTCTTTTTAATCACTTGACTTAAAACACTTTCGTAGATTAAAATCGTTGGTTGTGAATCTTCATATCAACAAATTCCTTAGTGGGTCTATGTTTTCGTACTTGAGATTTTCTGCAAAACGTATTGCGGATATATAGTATGGACAAATCTCATGGTCTAAAAATTATGGTGTTCCCATGTCTTTCAGAAAAGAAAAAAAAAATATTTTTCGAGTGAAGTGATGCATTAATCGTATAATATAGCTATTCTGGTCTGAAATTCCCTGAAAAAAAAAATATATATATTTTGACCACAAATTTAGCTTTCATCGGCCTAATGCATTTACGTATATGATTTTTCTCTACGGCCCGAATATATATTTCGCAGCTTAAGTGGTAAAGCCCAATATGTAATGTTTTATGAACTTGGAATATTATTATTGTTGCATGATCTATGCTGCTTGTGGGTTATCCTATGAAGCGATGGTTTGAATTTGTTAGTTGTCGCATGATTTTTACTTACTTGACTTTGTGTATTTGTGTGGGTCTAAAAATCCTATAACTTGGTTATGTTGCTTGTGCGGTTTATGCTTTTGAAGTTCTAACTTTGATTTTGGTTGATTTATTGTCTAGTCTTTGTTTGAGGCTAATATGAATATGTTTAGTTGCTTGCGTGGTCTATGCGTTTGATTCAAAAAAAATATGACATTACTAACCCACAACTTGAAATATATATAGTGGTGAAGTCGAAAAGAGAGATGGATATTGATTTGAGTTTCGTAGATTATATTACTTGCTTAATCAGTAATGGTTTGATGTGAGATAATTCTTTTGTAAAGAGTCTCCTAGTAGTGAGAACAAATCTTTCGTGAATATTTTCTATTATATTCTATGTATAAATATATATATATATTTATATATACTCCAAAGAAATCATCAACTGTTTTCTTGTAAATACAAAATTTGTTCAGACTTTTAAGTTTTAATTACTTTGATAATATACTCTTTAACAATTCAAAGCGTATATAATGCGCATAAGATTCTACATGGGTTAGTCTATGTAATCACCAGTAACATCAGTGTTGTAGAAACTAGTAAATTTGAACGTTACACCGAACAGTATCTTTTCTTCTTTTTTTATTATTATTATTCATCCTAACGGTAAACATATCTAAATCTGACCGTTATGAATTAATTTTAATTATGAAGATATGTAATTACCAAACGGTAACTTTTTATTTTTTTTTAATATTAAATTTTGTATTCACCCAAACGGTAACTTATTTGACCGTCGGAGATAATCTCTATAAATAGATTATAGTAGAACACCTCCGACTTCCTTCATTCAGACATCGAAAGGTTCTTCTTACTCTCAAAATCTCTTTTTTTCTCTTTCTTTAATAATCTCTGTTTTTTTTTTCTTTCTTCAAAAATCTCTGTTTAGAATCTTCTGACCTGTTGTTCTACTTCTACAACTCAAGTTTATCTCTGAACTTCTCATCCCCCGAGCGAGCGAGACTAGCAATAGAGTCATAAGAGACATCACCCCTACTTTTTTTAAGGTAACAACTCTTTTTTCTGGTCTTACTTGTTAAAACAACAACGAGAATCTAAAAATCTTAGGCTCTGTTTTTCTTTCTTTCTATGTTTTAGTAAATCTCTCGTGCATGGTTTGTTGATTTGGTTTAGATCACTCTTGAAATTTTGTCTTAGAAAAGAAAGCAAACTATGACTTATTTCATTTGTTGCTTTGAACTTTCAATTTTTAATCATGCTCTGTTTTTTTCCTAAGAGAATAACATACATAGTTGTTAAAAGATCTTATACAATGATATTGTTTTAATGTACATAAAAAAAAAAATAGTTATTGCTCTGTTTGTCTTAATATTTCTTGCTAAATAAGGATTAAAAATGGGCGTTATACATGTATTTTCACTAGTATTATTACATATATTTGATTTTTTTTTTGGATTAAATGACACTTGCTCAATTAATTTGTACATAATACTCTGAAGCGATTGTAATGAATTATATTTTATCTCGTTTTGCAGATGTTGATGATGAACACAAATTCAAAAGGAGTGTGTAACGAAAAGGCCATAATGGAGTTATATGATCTCACTCACATTCATATCCTTTGAGAAAATGCAGACGCCAAAGAAAGGGAGTGCTTGAAGAGATACATGATGAGAAGATGTATGTTAGGGTGCATGTGTGATGATGTGTAGAGTATGTCAGCTCGTAGAAGATGTATAGGTATGGTGTGTAACGTATGATTGTATAGATGAGATAAAAAAAAGTGTAGGATGTGGACGTGTGGATGTATGCTTTGTATAGATTAGATGAATATGTAGAATGTGGATGTTTGTATAGTTAGTTAGATAAATGTTAGGATGTGTATAAGGTGAATGTGTAGGATATGATGTTTGTATAAATTAGATGAATGTTTAGGATGTGTATAGGTTAGTTAGATAAATGTTAGGATGTGTATAAGGTGAATATGTGTAGGATGTTTGTATAAATTAGATCAATGTTTAGGATGTGTATAAGGTGAATGGAGGATGCATATGGTGGAGAATGTGGGTGACTGATGTTTTAGATCAATGCAGATGAATGTGATAACGATTTCGGGGTTATTTATAAAACTTTGGATCGGGTTCGGTGTGGTTCTTTTTCGGGCTCAGGTATTAAATCTGAATAATGCCCAAAATATAATTATGGGTGGTAGACTTATCCAAAATACCCATAAAATCCAAAAGTAGTTATCACTAGCAAATTTTTAAGGAAAATATTACGAAAAAATAAATTTGGAAAATATTAAGAAAAAATAAATTTAACCATTTTTGAACATTATAAGCATTAAAATTAAACAAGTCACTCACAAAATAAATAAGCAATTAAACAAGTCACATAGACTACCATTATTGGTGCTACATAGTGTTCGGGTATTTAAAAGTATCTACTTCCATTGGTAAATGTACCGCCAAGGAGCCAATCTTCTCGACTTCAACTACCTTTCAATCACTATCCCAAACCTAAGAGACTCAATCACCATCACCCGCAAACTCAAGAACGTTGGCACGCCTGCTACTTACATTGCTCATCTCCGAAAACCATTTGAGGTATTAAGAACAAAAACCGCTCGGATATTTCTTAAGAACCAAAATAGATCGAATTCGGATATTTCATGTTGGGTTCTATTTGAGTTTTCGGGTTCAGATATTTTGCCCAAATCTAATTGAATGTAAAATTTTATTCAGCCAAAAAGAATTTTTACGATAAATATTCTTTTAGTAAAGAACCACCGAGTCGAAAACCACATCTTTAGACCGTCATCATATCGATAATCCCGTAGGTCTCTGATTAAATTGATGCCATTTCAAACGTTTTTGTTAATGAGTTTGACTAACCGAGATAGTTTTAGATGACAATGATGAAATGTGGAAGATGTAAAGGGAGAATGTGTAGCCATATGAGTGCCTAAAATTCAGTATAAAATTTATGTTTAGTTCGATTTATTATTTTCACATCGTTAGTTTAGTCTTAATAAGTGACAGTAAAAATTCAATAATTTTAAAACTTACTACCAAAGAGAGAAACAATTTTTTCACATAGATAGAGAATCTGTGTATCCGGTAATTATAAAATGGAGTTTGGTTGTCAAAGCTTAGTAGTAAACAGCAAAACAGAAACACAAAATAATAAATTATTTTGGCGAAAAAAAAAAGAATTATTTTATAAAAGATGCCAAGATGGCTTTCACTAAAATAGATATAGATAGAGCAATGACCTTGAGATGAAATATGAATGATAAAAAAAATGTTTAGATGAATGACTTGAAATTTCTGTAAAATGGTCTTAACTCTTAAGGTGAAAGAAGCTCAAGTCAATAAAAAAGGTTTAGTAGAGAATAATTTTTTTAATCGATGATCATCCACCACACATACATAAATTACATTCTCACAGCAAAATTAAAAAGAGAGGAAAGAAAAAAAAAAAAAAACAGATGTTCATGGTTATGAGCTGTTACTGTGACTGTGACTACTATTTTCACTACCACGAAGCTCTCTCAACGAAGCAACCACTTGTAACATATTTGGCCTCTTTGATGGGAAGTCGTCAACGCACCGCAACGCTATCTCCAAGTACCTTAACATCTCTTTCACAATCATTCCTCCGAAACCTTCTTTCTCATTCAGAGACTCCGAAGGACCTTCTTTAAGACTTAGCAGGTCTTCATCAATCACTTCCATATGTTTCCCTTCTCTTGCCTTCATCTTCGACCAACCTACTAAGTTCGTATCACCAAACTCTTCTTTGTCCGTTGGTCTTTTCCCACTTAATATCTCCAGCATCACTACTCCGATCGAGTACACGTCGCCTTTTGCTGTACATCTGAAACTTTGGTAATACTCCGGTGGTACGTAACCTGGCGTGCCTGCCAAGGTACTGACGCTCAAATGCGTGTCTAATGCGCTGATCAGCCTTGCCATTCCAAAATCTGAAACTCTTGCTTCCATGTCTTGATCGAGAAGTACGTTGCTCGATTTCATATCGCGGTGGATTATATGAGGGATGCAATTATGATGCAAGAAACAAAGCCCTTTCGCTGCTCCTTTCGCAATCTTTTTCCTCTCTTCCCAACTCAAGATCCTCCTTTTTTCCCCTGTTCTTGGTCCGTGAAGCACTTCCTCGAGGCTACCGTATTGCATAAACTCGTAAACTAGCAATCTTTCTTCCCCGATTTTACAGTATCCCAAGAGGGGTACGAGGTTTCGGTGTTTGATCTTTCCTAGCGTTTCCATTTCAGCCATAAACTCTCGATCTCCTTGACAACTAAGCCTAATCAGTTTCTTGATCGCCACGGAAGACCCGTCTTTAAGTGTCGCCTTGAAAACCTCGCCAAATCCACCGTGTCCAATCATACTCGCTGCGGAGAATCCGTTTGTTGCTTCGATAAGCTGCGAGAACTTAAGCTTCCTCAATTGTCGCTGAAACGTAGCTACGTTAATACTCAACGGCTCTTTCTCCTTCTCAATCTTCCAAGTCGTGGCAGAATTAACAGCCTGCAAACTGTGAAGCATCTTCGCATCTTCCGCGTCTCTCTTCCTCGCGCGAACCGCAATCGCCCAAACGATCAAAATGCAAACCGACGCAGCAGAAATCAACACTCCCAAAACAATGCTATTCGCCCAAGAAGCTGCCCTGCTTCCGTGTTTAGCACGTTTCACTTCCTCTGTTCCGGCTGGAAGCTGATTGTTTCCGTTTTTACATTCCGGTAAAGGAACACCGCAAAGTCCAGGATTATCCGCATACTGGCTCGCAGGAAGCGTGCTAAGCTGACCTCTCTGAGGAATCGGACCGGCTAGCTCGTTACTAGACAAATCAATCTGCACCAAGAAAGACAAATTCGAGAAAGATTCAGGGATTTGACCCTGCAACCTATTATTCGACGCATCGAACACACCGAGGTTCTTGAGCTGACCAATCGTAAAAGGAATCTCGCCGGAGAGTTGATTATGAGAAAGCTCAAGAACTTGAAGAGCGATCATTTCTCCAATCTCATCTGGGATCTTGCCTCGAAGCTGGTTATAAGAAAGATCAAGATACTCAATGGTTTGATACCTTGTGAAAAGACTCAGAATCGGACCTGAATACATTCTTGTGAAGTCACAGCTTTTAAGAGATGGAATCTGAAGAAGCCTCTCTGGTCTGATTCCTGAGAACTCAACCAAACCTCCAACACCTCTACATGAATTTCCAACGTTTCTTACAAAAGCCATTGTGTTCCCTGAGAGTAAACCGGAAAGAGCTTTTGAACCGGGTTGACGACCTAACCGGGGAGGGATTTCACCGGTTAAGTGGTTTGTATTGAGATCAAGCCAAACCAGAGTTGTGCATTTTCCTAGCTCCGGTGGTATTTCTCCGGTGAAATTGTTGTTTCCGAGCTGAAGAACGGCTAACCGGGAAAGGATTCCGAAATCTTTAGGGACTTCTCCGGTTAACCTGTTGCTTGTGAATGAGACCCATTCGATGTTGCTGCAGTTGAAAAACTCCGGTGGGATTTCTCCGGTGAGTTGATTGTTGTTGAGGATCAAATCTTTGAGTTTTTGTAGTTTTCCGATCTCCGGCGGGATTGTTCCGGAGAGATTGTTGTACCAAGCGATGAATTGTTCGAGTTTCTGGAGGTTTCCGATCTCCGGTGGGATTGTACCGTTGAGATAATTGAGACTGAGATCAATCGTTCGAAGCTCAGAGCATTGAGATATCGTCGGAGGAATCTCTCCGGTGACGAGATTATCTGGGATTCTTAACTCTTCTAAAGAAGCTGCTCCGGGACATAAATCCGGCGGAATCACGCCGGAGAATCGATTCGAGCTGAAATCAGCGATCCTCAAGCTCTTGCAAGCAGACATCGAAGTCGGAAACTCACCGGAGATTAAGTTGCTGCTGAGAAGCAATATTTGAAGAGATCCGAAGCTCCGGAGGATAGTGTTCGGAAACGGACCGGAGATGTTGTTGTTGGAAAGGTCGAGATTTTGTAACAAAGAACATGAGGACAAGGACTCAGGGATCACACCGGTGACATTGTTGTTAGAAAGACGGAGGTTTTGTAATGTCCGACAAGTGCCTCCGATCTCCGGCGGGATCCAACCGGTGAGTCGATTATGAGAAAGATCCAAACTTTGTAAGAGTTTTAGCTCACCGAATGATTTTGGAATCTGCCCATCAAAGTTGTTGTAAGAAAGATTCAAGCTTTTGAGGCTGGTGCAGTTGATGAGTGAGTCAGGGATGTAGCCGGAGATACTGTTACCGGAGAAATCGAGGTACGACAAAGAGACGCAAGAAGAGAGAGGAATGGTTAAACCGGAGATTGAACCGGTAACGTTGTTGTAAGAGAGGTCAAGGGTTTGGAGTTTCTTGCTACCTAAGAAAAGATCGTTAGGTAACTTTCCGGTGAAGTTATTGTAAGAGAGAGTGATGGAGATAAGATTTGAGTATCTAGGGAAGAAATTTTCAGGGAGGATTCCGATTAAACCGGAGGAGGAGAATTCGAGGTGAGTTAGGCTTAAGGGAAGAAGAAGAAGAGAGGTTGAGTTTAAAACGAAGAAGTTCTCAGAGAGTTTAAGAACAGAGAGAGAATCAAGAGAGGTGAAAGCATTGAAAGAGACGGTTCCGGAGAGGCCACTACCGGAGAGATTGATCTCGGAGACTCTTCCTCCGAGACAAGTGACGCCGGAGTATTGACAAGGTGATTTACGAGGTGACCAGTTTGAGAGGATGTTGTTTGGATCGTCTTGAATCATCGTTTTGAAAGAGAGAAGAGACAACGAGTCTGTTTTGAGTGAGGATTGGTCAGAGGAAGAAGATAGAGAGAAATGAGTAAGGATGATGAAGATGAAGGAGACTTGGATCCGAGTCCGGATCCGAACCCGGATTGGTGAAGTAGTCATTGGAGGGAGGTGTTTGGAGTTTGAATGGAGAAGGAGAAGAGAAACATTTAGATGATAAAGAGATTTATTTTCTTTCTCTTTCGAGGCGATGCTAAAGCAGAGCAAGAATGAAGATAAAGGGCTTTTTTTGAACAAAAGATAAAGCTGCTTTTTAATTTTAAAAATTTAGTATTGATGCTTATGATAATTTTTATATTAATTGTGTGACTAGTGAGT